CACTGCAACCTCTGCCTCCTGGGCTCAAGCAATCTTCCTACCTCAGCCTCCCAAGTAGCTGGGACTGCACATGCATACCACCACATCCAGGTGATTATTTTTGTATTTTTAGTAGAGATAGGATTTTGCCACATTGCCCAGGCTGGTCTCGAACTTTTGGGCTCAAGCAATCTGTCCACCTCAGCCTCCCACAGTGCTTGGATTACAGGCATGAGTCACTGCCCCTGGCCAAATTGTTTGAAGTATTTCTTCAACCTACACAGAGCACCACATCATATGGTTTTATAATTTTTGATTTAGATATTAAATATTATTTCAAAAAGTCATGAATAAAAAATCACTAATTAAATGGTGGGATATTCTATGTTCATGGAGAGGAAAGTCAATATTGTTAAGATGTCAGTTCTGTCCAAGTTGATCTATAGATTAAATGTCATCGCAATCAAAATCTGAGCAAGTTATTTTGCGGATATCAACAAACTGATTCTAAAGCCTAGTAGGAGAGGCAAAAGACTCACAATAGCCAATACAAAACTGAAGAAGAAGAACGAAGTTGGAGGACTGACACTACTGATTCCATGACTTACTACAAATCTACAGTAATTAAGACAGTATAGTGTTGATGAAAGAACAGACAAATGAAACAGAATAGAAAGTCCAGAAATGGACTCGCATAAATATAATCAACTGACCTTTGAAAAAGGAGCAAAAACAATATAATGGAGAAAAGATAGCTTTTTCAACCAGTGCTGCTATAACAACGGGCCATCAGCATACAAAAACCCCTGCATAAATCTACACATAGACCTTACACCCTTCACAAAAAGTAACTCAAAATGGATCACAGGCCTAAATGTAAAATGTAAAACCATAAAACTCCTAGAAGATCTAGAGGAAAGTCCATATGACTTTGTATTTGGTAATGACTTTTTAGATACAACACCAAAGCCATGATCTATGAAAGAAAGAATTGGTAAACTAAATTTTATTAAAATGAAAATTCTCTGCTCTGTGAAAAACAATGTCAAAAGGATAAAAGACAAGCCATGGATTGTGAGATACATCTAATGAAAGACTGTTATTCAAAATACACAAATAACATTTTAAATTCAACAATAAGAAAACAACTTCATCAAAAAATGGGCCTCATCAAAAAATGGGCCAAAGACCTTAACAGACACCTCACCAAAGAAGATATATAACAGGCAAATGAGTATATTAAAAATGCTTAACATCATATGTCATTAGGGCAACACACATTAAAACAACAATGAGGTGCCATTACATGTCTGTTAGAATGGCCAAAATCCAGAACACTGACAAGACTAAATGCTGACAACAAGAAGTCTTATTCATTGCTGGTAAGAATGCAAAATGGTATAGCTATTTTGGAAGACAGTTTGGTGATTTCTTACCACATAGTTCAGTGATCATTTTCCTTGGTATTTACCCAAAGGAATGGAAAACGTGTGCACACAGAAACCTGCACATGGCTATTTATAGCAATTCTATTCATAATTTCCCAAACTTAGAAGTAACCAAGATGTCAATCAGTAGTTGAATTGCTAAATAAATGGTGGTACCTCCAAGCAATGGAATATTATTTAGGGCTAAAAAGAAATGAGGTATCAAGCCATGAAAAAGACATGGAGACTTAAAGGTATTTACTGAGTGAAAGAAGAGAATCCAAAAGCCTACATGCTATGTTATTTCAACTGGATGATGTCTTAGACAAGACAATACTATAGAGACAGTAAAAAGATCAGTGGCTGCCAGGGGTTGGGGGAGGCATGGCACAGAGGATTTTTAGGGCAGTGAAGCTATTCTGTACAATAGTAGATACATGTCATTATAAATTTATCCAGACCCACAGAATGTACAATTCCAAGAGTGAACCCTAATGCAAAGTATGAACTTGGGTGATAATGATGGATAATGTTCATCAGCTGTAATAAATATACCACTCTGATGGGGGATTTTTATAGTAAGGGAGGCCATGCACAAGTTAGGGCAGGAACTATATGGGAAATCTCTGTACCTTCTATTCAGTTTTGCATTGAGCCTAAAATTGCTCTAAAAGCAGTCTATTAAAAAGGCATACTAAGTAATCTAGTTTACAATGTTTTTATTCATTCTTATGTTCTTTCTTTTCTGAAAGTTCTATCCTTCTTCTCCTATCATTTCCTGTCTGTTTAGAGAACGACCTTTAGCCATTCTTTAAAAGTCACCTTGCTGGCAAACATTCTCTTAGATTTTTTTTTTTTTTTTTTTTTTTTTTTTTTTTTTTTTTTTGCCTGAGAAGGTTTTCATTCTTCTTCTTCATTCCTGAAGGATATCTTCAATGAATATAAAATTTGCCATTGACAGTTATTTTGTCTCAGTAGCTGAAAAATGTTGAGCTACTTATTTTTGGCCTCTGTAGTTTCCAGTGAGAAATCTGCTGTCATTCCAATTGGTTTTTCCCTATAAGTAATGCATCATTTCTCTCTAGCTGCTTTCAAGATTTTTTCCCTGGCTTTAGTTTTCAGAAATTTAATTATGGTGTTTCTTGACCTGGGCTTCTTTGCGATTAGCCAATTATTTGCTCATCTTATTGAACCTGTAGATTCATTACGTCTTTTACCAGCAGGGGAAGTTTTTAACTATTACATCTTTTACTACTTTTCCAATCTCTCTCTTTTTGTCTTCTGAAACTGAAGATATGCATGTTGGCTCTGTTGCTATTGTCTCAAATATTCCTGAGAAAGAGTTGCCTTATTTTTCAGTCTATATTTTCTTTGTTGTTCAGATTGGACAAATTCTATTGATTTGTGTTCTAGTCTGTAATAAAATATCTTAGATCATGTTGCCGTTAAATAACAAATTTGTTTTTCATGTTCTGGAGGCTGGGAAGTCCAAGATCAAGGTACCAGAAGCTTTAGTGTCTGGTGATTTCTAGTTCATAAATGGTGCCTTCTTGCCATGTCCTAACATAGTGGGAGGAGGAAGGCAGCTTTCTGAGACCTCTTTTGTAAGGACGTAAATCTCATTCATAAGGGTGAAGTACTCATGACCTAATCATCTCCAAGGGTCCCTACTTTCTAATATAATCACCTTGGTGATTAGGATTCAACATATGAATTTTGAAGGACTTACATTTAGACCACAGCAATCTGTCATCAGGTTTACTGATTCTATTGTCACTATTCTATTCACGATTCTATCACGATTCCATCATCTATGCTGTATTCTTGACTTCATCTAGTGAGATTTAAAAAATTTGGTTAAGCCAGATTTTAAGCCAATTTGGTTATGCCAGGAGATGAGCAGCCTTGTGGTGAATATACTTAACAATTACTCGGTTAATTCAAAGGTGTGGTTTTCATATTTTTCAGTTCTACAATTTCCATTTTATTCTTTTCTATAACTTTTACTTCTTTGGTACAATTTTCTCTTTTTTTCCCCATTTATTTCAAGAGAAATTATAATTGCTTATTGAAGCAGTGTTATGATGGTTGCTTTAAAATCTTTATCAGATAACTCCAATGTCTGATTAATCTTGGTGTTGGTATCTGTTGATTTCTTTATCATTCATGTTGTGATGTTTCTTGTTGCTGTGATGGTTTCTAGTCAAGTCTTTGTATGTGTTCTGATGGTTCTTGGTATGATGTGCAATTTTTTTATTGTGTGTTGGACATTTTGGATATTTTATTATGTGGCTCGAGATTGACTGAATATTTTTTAGCAGGGAGTCCCTTGTTGAGATATATTGGGATGTTTAGATAGACATGTATATTCCGCTTCCTGTTGAGCTGACTTAGAGTTGTTGAAAATGTATGAAGTAGAAGTTCAGCTCCCCTCTTTGGCCCTGCTGACACGTACTCAACTGAAGTAGGGCATTGAATCTCACTGCCTCAGTTGCCTTCAAATGAGGATATGAGATCATCCCCTCCCCACTGGGCTGAGCTGCCACCAGGAAGGGGGAAGTTGAAGGCTGACCCACATCACTTTTTGTTACCAGTTTGGGATGGAAGCTCAGTTCTCTTTGGGGCACTAATGACACCAGGGAAGAAGAGGAGTGAATCAAGTGCCAACTGACCCTTTCTCCTATCACCTCCTTTTTCCTTAACAATACCAAGTAGGGGTGGAGTCTCAGCTTCCCATTGGATCCTGCTGATGGGGTGTTGGTGTGAAGCAGGGTGTGACTAGACTTACCTCGCATCTCCTTGCTAGGCCTTGTTGTTGTGGGGTACAGATGGTCACCACTGGACTCCACTAATGTTACCCTGGCACCACCTGCTTTTGCTGGGCAGGAGATAGAAGATCAGCTCCCTACTTGGCCCACTAAGGTGTACACCAGGTAGGGAACTCAGACACTCCATCTGCTCTGCAAGTCAAGAGGTGGAAGATGACCTCCCCTTTCAGCCTTGCAGAGAGGAATTGGAGCACCCCCTCCTGCTTTTGGAGGATTATGGGGTAGAGAGGAAGAGCAACGTCCCACTGAAACCGAAGGAGAGGAAGATGGGTGTGTTTTGCTCTGGTGTTTTTCTGTTGTAGGGTGGGTATCCCCAAGAAGGTTTTCTATTGTTAAACCATCCTTTTCATATCTTCTAGCTCTGAAATCAAACCTGAGTGAGGTCTTCCAGGCTTAGGCTGTGCTTTGCATGAAACATTTTAGGTGGCTAAGGAGGAACCTCTCCTTCTATGTCAGTTTAGGTTCATTGAGAAGTAGGGGCCAAGATTGTGGTTAGATGTCAAGAAATTTAATGGGAGAAAACACCTGTGAAGGATAAGTGGGAGGGAGCTAGATCGGTGGAGAGAACTCTCAGAACAAAGGCAGTCGGGTCTGGCCTCCTTGAAAAGAGAGGGCGGGGGGGAAGGCTTGAGCAGGGAACAGTGCAGTGATGACAAAGTCTCTGCAGGAAAGTGGGGGTCCCAGAGCAGGTCATCTCCTGGGCAGGCATGGCCTGACTCTAGAAACTTGCAAAGCTCAACTATCATCAGCTGGGAGCAGCCAAGGGATGAGCACCCTTGTGGTGAACATACTAAACAATTACTCTTTCAATTCAAAGGTGTGGTAGCTGGAGGCAGGTACTCTCGAAGGCAACCTGAGCAGCAATTCTCACGGCCACCACAGTCCACTTCTTGTAACACACAGGTCACTCCCTCTCCCCCATCTCCCAAATGCTGCTTTAAGTCATCTCAGACAATCTTCAATGCCCTGCAGAGCAGGAGGTGCTGCAGTCTTGTTTTAAGATGGTCTTGGCTGGGCGTGGGGGTTCATGCCTGTAATCCCAGCACTTTGGGAGGCCAAGGCAGGTGGATCCCAAGGTTAGGAGTTTGAGGCCAGTCTGGCCAATGTGTGAAACCCTGTCTCTACTAAAAATACAAACAAAAATTAGATGGGTGTGGTGAACGGACACCTGTAGTCCAGCTATTTGGGAGGCTGAGGCAGGAGAATCACTTGAACCCAGAAGGCAGAGGTTGCTGTGAGCTGAGATCACACTACTGCACTCCAGCCTGGGCAACAGAGCGAGACTCCATCTCAAAAAAAAAAAAAAAAAAAAAAAGATGGTTTTGTTTTGTCAGGAAATCCTTCCTTCTCTCCCTCCGTGTGCCTGGCTGTATTGAACACCCAGTCTGTGTAACACACACAGCATGCACAGTATCAAACAAGCACTACAATGGACACAGCTTCTCTAGATAAGCCTGGAATCAAAGCATCCACAGCTTCCTCTCAGTCACCAACTATTGGCTGTCTTATTTTGTATCTGTTCTTCACAGGTCCGATTTAAGTTTGGATGAAATGAGAGCTTTGACAGTTCAGAGAGTGAAGTTTACCATGGGTCTACCTCTGTTAAAATGTGCATTTCAGGATCTGGTAAGCGTCATTGTTATTTTGGTATCCTTGTGTTTGTATGTGTGTGTGTGAGAGAGAGATAGAGATTTCTTTCTTTACAACTTTCATTTTAGGTTTAGAGGGTACATGTGCAGGTTTGTTACGTGGGCAAATTGCACATTGTGGAGGTTTCGTACACAGAGTATTTCATCACCCTGGTAGTGGGCACAGAACTCATGATAGGTAGTTTTTTGGCCCTCACCCTTCTCCCTCCCTCCTCCCTCAAGTAGGCCCCTGTGCCTATTATTTTATTATTTGTGTCCGTGGGTACTCAATGTTTAGCTCCCACTTATGAGTAAGAACATGAGGTATTTGGTTTTCTGTTTCTGTGTTCGTTTGCTTAGAGATTTTGTTTTGTTTGCTTTTGTGACTTGCTAAGCCTGTTGATCTCATGCTGAGGGCAGCTGATAGACACCTCTCAGTGGAGGAGAATGTCTTCCTCAGGCCGTTTTTCTGCCCCACTCCCACTAACCTAATGAACCCTTCCCTTGACCCACCCATTCACTTTTCCAGTCTCACAGACTAGGGAATAGGAGTATCAGCAGAAGTAATAAAATGTTTGTTCACAAAACCACCATAATTTTAGGGATAAAAATAAATAGCTGGGAAATAGAAATAACTCATTTCAGGGGCTTTTAAAGCACTTTAGACTTAGCCAATGTTTATGTCTCATTTGTCTAAAAATTGTCATTCTAAATTATTATTTTAGTCAATTTGGCCTCATTAAAAAAGAAAGAAGAAAGAAAAAATGCATGTTAGTGAGTTCCTTTGTATGTCAGTATCAGGAGCGATATATTTTAGCCAAGTTCATTCAGCTTCATGGCTTTCTTAACACACTGGACATGGGAAAAAATATACCTCAGCGGGACCTGGTGGCTCACATCTGTAATCCCAGCACTTTGGGAGGCCAAGGTGGGCTGATGGAGTTCAAGACAAGCCTGGGCAATGAGGTGAAACCCTGTCTCCACAAAAAATACAAAAACTGGCCAGGCACAGTGGCTCATGCCTGTAATCCTAGCATTTTGAGAGGCTGAGGCAGGTGGATCACTTGAGGCCAGGCGTTTGAGACCAGCCTGGGCAACATGGCAAAACACCGTTTCTACTAAAGTAAAAAAATTACAAAAATTAGCCAGCTGTGGCGGTGCATGCCTGTAGTACCAACTACTTGGGAGGCTAAGGCATGAGAATCCCTTGAATCAGGAGGTGGAGATTGCAGTGAGCTGAGATTGTGCCACTGTACTCCAGCCTGGGCAATAGAGTGAGACTATGTCTCAAAAACTAACAAACAAAAAAACTAAACAACAACAAAAGAACACTAACTAGGCATGGTGGTGCCCACCTGTACTCCTGGCTACTTCTGAGGCTGAGGTGGGAGGATGGCTTGAGACCCAGGTTGAGGCTGTAGTGAGCAATGAACGTACCACTGCACTCCAGCCTGAGCAACCGGAGTGAGACCCTGTCTCAAAGTGAACAAACAAACAAAAAACCTAACACCACTTCTCCTGTGAGACCCCCGCTAGGGGAGGAGCCTGAACTGGGGTAGCTGCAGCTTGGCCACAGGCTGAAGAGCTGATCCTCTCCTGCAGCAGCCCACTACCTCTCTCCCTGCCCAGCATGTTCTGGGAGGGAGAGCCTGAGGACTGAGAGATGGGACCCTCCCAGTTCAGGAGACCGCAGGGGTGCCTTTCTTTGTGGAGTGTAGATTGGAGCTAGTGGGGGCCTGGGATCTGCACTTGAAAGGATATCCTTCCCACTCCCTGATGGTAGGTTGTCTAAAGAGACAAGGACCAAGCCTGGAATCTTTTCAGGAAGGAATTCCAGGCGGAGCCTTGGCACCACCTGCACTGGGGTACTGCAGCCCCAGTCCATGCTGATTAGGGCACTGCAGTGTCAGCTGAGCTGGGGAGCGTGGGGAAGGATGATCACTTGGCACAGGACAACTTCCACATGGCAGAGTGGAGTGTGCTTGCAAAGTGTAAAAAATCATTTCATACTAAGCAGTGGGCAGAGATTTTCAAGCTAGGAAATTGCCTCTTGATGGAACATCCATTTAGAGCTGTGAACACAACCACACACACACACACACACACACACACACACACAAACTCAACCCTCTTTGCTGCCAACCACTCTCTCTATCAGAGTCACCTCCAAGTACATTCGGTGTGGGGCTGTTCGAAGGTGAAATATTGGCCTGTGGCCAGTTTCTTGCTCCTTTAATCAGCCCAACATGTCTGCGGCTTAACTTAGTGTCAATACTCAAGACTCGAATGTGAGAGTTGATCCCTTAATGAGGCTTGCTAATTGCATCCTGACCTGCTGAGTCTGAAGGATTAGCCTCTGTAATCTCACTCCTGATGTAGCGTGTTGAGCTCTGGATCCAATTATATTTCCACTTTCCGGGCTTGCTTAGTGGCCTTGGGCAGCCTGGACAACTCTCTGTCCTGGGTGATTAGATATAATTCCTCCAGGAGGCACAGGATTGGCCCTAGACGATCCCTCCAGTTCATTTCTGTGAATTATCTTGGCCTGTTTGGCACCTCTCTCCGTGTGAAGTCGCAAAAGCCAATAAACCTGAAGGAAATGAAACTGGCCATCAGTGCGGCAAGCTCATCTCACTGGGAGGATGTCATGAGACTCAGCAGCACATCTGTGTGTGAAGGCGCTCAAATTCCACCCTGTAAACAGCTGGAGAAGCTGTCCACATCCAGTAATTCTAGAAGAAGTGTCACATGATTCATCCTGCCTCTTAATAAAACGATTGCGTCGTGGCTGTCCTGCCTGCTCAGGGAGCGTGCAAGGCCTGGCTATGTTTTTTCCTGGGCCCCCCTTTTCTATTGCTGTTCACTTTTATGGATGACCCTATGAGTCCGAGGCAGAACGCAGTGTGTAATGTGTAATGATGATGTTCTAGGGGACAACTGAGGAGGGAGTGTTATTCACTCCGGGTCTCTATGGACGGTCTGCAGGCCAAGAGTAAGCCATTAAAATATTTCTACACTGTGTTTTTTCTCTGCCATCTGTAATAGGTTTGAGATGTTACAGTAATTTTAAAGGGAAGAAACAGTATGAGTCTGATTTCACAGTGTGCATGCACACACACACAGATACACACGCACAGTGTCAGCACCATCATTGCTCTCAGTACCGACTTCTCCTGCACCCGTTTCTACTGACATCACCTTTGTGCACCTCAGCCAAGAGGTCTCTTGTTCCCCTGAAGTTTCCAGAATTGGATCCTGGGTTGGGGGAGTCACCAACTATGTCCAGATGCAGAGACAGAAGACCCAGGTCTTAACGTGTACTTTGTGTCGGTGTCTTGCATGGGGGGGCCGCTTCCTCAGAGATGCTCATCCCTGGAAGCTGACAAGCTGACAGCCTGCACTGGTCTTCACCTTAACAGACTGTGACAGCTCAAGTTGCCTGAGTACATGCTCCGTGCCAGTCCCAGCACTAAGAACTTTAAATGGATGATGTCATTCAGTATTCACAACATCCCTATGGCATTCCCATTTTACAGATAGGTAAACTGAAGCTGAATAATTGGCCTGAGTTTAGTTATACAATTAGTGAGTTGGATATATAAATGACTAGTGAACCAGGGATTCAAACCCAGGTGCTCTGCTTCCTGAGCCCACATCAAACAGGTGGGGCTTGTCCCTGGCTGCACAATAGAATCAACCAGACAACTTTCAAAACTCCTGCTGTGAAGGTTTTTGCTTAGGCCAATCAAGGCAGACTTTACATCTCCCAGGTGACCCACTGTGTGTCTGGGGTTGAGGACTGCTGCACTATGCCTCCTTCCCTGCACCCTATCTCCCCAAAATTGTTCCCATTAACCATTTGGTCCTTACCATTCAGGGTTTGGGGCTGGCTCATAGGGAAACTCTATCTCAACGTTACCTTTCCCCAGGAGGGAGCTAGCTGGGATCAGGCTGCTTTCAGTGTAGTGCAGGTTGGGGACATGTATCTGGATAATGAAGGACCTACCTGTGACTCCTTCCCCCCGCCACCCTACGACCATTCTCTCTTTCATGCAGAGCTCTGGTTTTTATCCCCATGATCCGCACAAGTGAGGAACATAGTTCACCATCATTATCTAAACCAGTGGTTCTCAAAGGAAGGTCCAAGGACCCCTTTGTGTCCCCAAGACCATTTCAGGTGCTACCTGGAAAGTGTATGTTCAACTATGTGTGTGTGAGACACTGGATATTTGTCATAAACCTCAACCAAAGCAACATATCACACAAAAGCAGATATGAAAGTGCAGCTATCTTTTATTGAGCCAGATATTAGAACAATGTGAAACAATGCCATTCTTTTCATGGATTTTTTTGAAATTATTATTTTTTATAAAAATTATGCCATATACACTAATATAATTTTTTAAATTCCCAGTTGTAATTACTAATATGGTAAATTGATAGCTATAACCTGGACAAACAAAACCTCTTTGGAATCCTCAAGAAAGTTCCAGGGACCATAAAGTTTGAGAGTCACTGGTTTAAATCACCCACTATTTTCTCAGGAAGCTCAATCTCAGCAGATCAGAGGGGAACTGGTAGAATATTGGTTGCTTTATATTTGTATTACATATATTATGATTATTATTTTTATCAGAATTTTCGGTAATCTCAGTTTGAGGTGTTTTTGTATCTAGAGAAATAGCAGGTAAGTGATCAGATCTAAAAAGGAAGAATATTCTAAGGTCAGTTCACCCTCAAAGGTGTTTGGGAATGGTGGGGAGGGTGGTTACTTTTCTACTCAGACCTTGAGCAAAGAAACAGCCTTTCCCAGGAAGCATTTACATTTAAGCCCTGAATGTGTCGTGTAAAAGGAGCTGAGCCAGGAATCTGCCAAGAGGCTGAAGATGTCTGTCCTGTCCCAGTTTCAACCCACCCAGGCCCTGAGCTGTTGCCCACTACTTCCAGTGCCAGCCTCTGCGAGTGCTGCAGACTGTGACCGCTGTACTTCCCCACCCA